CCTGCAATCCATTTCCAATGCTTCTCTTTGTGATCTTGCTCCTGCCTTCCTCTCCAGACTTACCTCCTGCTACTTTCTCCCTAAGCTCTTAATCTTATATACTCCAGCCATACTGAATGGCCTACATTTCTCTAAATGGGCCTCACTTTGTGCTTCACATTGTCCCCTTGGTCTGAAAAGCCCTTCTTTTTTTTTTTTTTAATTTATTTATGACAGTCACAGAGAGAGAGAGGCAGAGACACAGGCAGAGGGAGAAGCAGGCTCCACGCACCGGGAGCCCGATGTGGGATTCGATCCCGGGTCTCCAGGATCGCGCCCTGGGCCAAAGACCGGTGCCAAACCACTGCGCCACCCAGGGATCCCTGAAAAGCCCTTCTTTAATGTCCTTTGCCTTGCAAATTTCTTTTGCTCTTCTGGACTTGGTTCAGTATTGCCATCCTAGTGGAGTCTTCCATACAATTTCTCTAACCTTCGTATGGGATCCTTATCACTCTGTATTTACTTTTATTATTGTACCTTTTTAAATCAGTGCTGCTCTCAGAGCTGTAACTGTTGCCTTAGATGGCAAGGGAGACTTTGCAGATGTAATTAAGTTAAGGATTTTGAGATGGGGAGGTTATCTTGGATTACCTGGGCAGGCCCTAAATGTAATCATAAGTTTCCTTATAAGGGAGAAGTTTGACTACAGAAGATGGCAACATGACCATTTAGGAAAAATATACACTGAAGATGGAGAAAGGAGAAAGGGGCCACCAGCTAAGGAATGCCATTGTAAAAGATGGAAAAGGTAAGGAAACAGATTTTCCCCCTAGAGCCTCCAGAGGAAGTTCAGCCCTGCTGACACCTTGATTTCAGCCCAGTGAAATTTATTTCAGACTTCTGATATCCATAACTATAAAAGAATAAAAATGTGTATTTTAAATACTTTATTTGTTCATTTGAGAAAGAGATAGAGCAAGAGCAGGGCGTCGGGGCAGGGGGAGAGGTAGAGGGAGAAGCAGATTCCCCACTGTGCACAGAGTGTGATGAGGGTGGTTCCAGAACCCTGAGATCATGACCGGAGCTCAAGGCAGATGCTTAACCAACTAAGCCACCCAGGTTCCTGTAACTGTGTATCGTTTTAAGCTACCAAATTTGTGTTCATTTGTTAATAGCAGCAATAGAAAACTGATATCCTGGGCCATGCAGGGCCTTTCATGCGTGTTCTAGGACTCTTCCAGCTGTGCTCCTTCTCTTGGGGTGAAAAGTCTATGTCCTCACTTCTAGACCAGGCACCAGGTATCCAGGACCCCCAAATTCTTTCCTCAAGAAATTCTTACTCCAGGCCTATTTCCAGGCCTCAATACTTCTTTCTCCAAGTTTGTCCCATTGAGATAGACTGCTGGTAGCCTCATGCCTGAATCTGAAGGGTAGTCAAGGGAGCACCTGTTTGTGGGGATGAGCCACAGTGTAGACAGTAGAATAAAGGGCACAAGAATGGAAGCCAGGAGACCAGAGGAAGGCGTCTACAGTAATTCAGGCAAGAGATGATGATAGTGGTGGAAATGGTGAGAAATGGGTGGATCCTAGCCATTTTGAAAGTAAAGTATATTTTAAAAGTAAAGACAGCAGGCTTTGCTGATACATTGAATAGGCGGTATGAGAGAAAGAGAAGGGTAAGTATGATTCTAAGACTTCTGGCCTGAACAGCTGGAAAGACAACATTGCCATTAACCTAGATAGTAAAGAAGGGAATAAGAACAGGTTCTTGGCTAAAGATTAATTATTATTATTAATATTATTATTATTTAATTATTGGCCCTATTTTATTTTGTTTTATTTTATTTTTATTTTTTAAGATTTTATTTATTTATTCAGTGAGATACAGAGAGAGAGGCAGAGATTTTATTTATTTATTCAGTGAGACACAGAGAGAAAGGCAGAGACATAGGCAGTGGAACTCGATCCCAGGACCCCAGGATCACAACCTGAGCCAAAGGCAAACGCTCAATTGCTGAGCCACCCAGGTGTCCCACATGTATGAAATTTTTTTTTTCAAATGTATGAAATTTTTGACACTCATTACTTAGCAAAGTGGGTAAGCAATTGGATGTTTAAGTGAATCTTGCCTTTCTTTTTTCTTTTCTTTTCTTTTTTTTCTTTAGAATCTTGCCTTTCTTAAAGACTATGCTTCTGGCAACTGGCATAGGGCCTTGAAATAGTAGATTCTTAATATTTGATAAGTCAGATGAATATGTGACATTCCTCCATAGAAGTGTTTCAAGACCTATTCACAATTTTATATCCCCACATAATCAAGTTGGTTAATATGAAGCCTATTGACAGTACACAGCTTGGCCAACTGCGTAAGCCAGGATATTAACAACCTGATTGTTTAGTATCTTCTTGTTCTTGGCTCTCTCAAACATTTTGATTAGGGCTAGGGCTGAAGTTGAATATTAATACCAAATGGAATGAAGTCAGTTCCACGGTCCCTGTCTTATTATCCTAGTGTGGAACTTTCTTAATTCACTGATTGCAAGGAATTTTTGTCTATAATTATAAAACGTATAATAATATTGACTTCTTTGTTCCATCTCTGAAATTATATTGTTTTCTCTACCATATATTTGGAAATGTTTACAACCAGAGCTTTTGTTATTTCAGTCTGCTTGAACGCATTCTGGATACTAATAGAGCCTGAAAGTGTCTCATGATGCTGAATAGTCTATGAAGGTTAGTTCTTTAGAAAATGTTAATTTGATGAATGAGCAACAATGCTGAGCTTCCTGGCTCTAAATTTACAGACACTATAAAACCATTTGTCTATAAAACATAATATATTTCATAGTGTTAAAAAGGTCATACCTCTGTTGCAAGATGTTGGGGACTAGGTTGATCATGTACATTCTCTTATATCTTCTATAGTCAAGCTGTTTTTTCCCCTGCACTCTCCTGAAGTTTCTTTTGTCAAGTTCGCCAATGATATGGACATTAAAAAATATCTATCGCCATTGATTTTAATTCTCATTTTACTTATCTTTTCAGCAGCATTTGAACAGTTGAGTACTTCATCCTTAAACACTTTCCTTTATTTTGGATCTTTGTGCTCTCTTGGCATAATGGTTAATTTTATGTCAACTTGACTAAACCACACAATGCATAGCCATTTGGTCAAGCCTTATTTCTGAGTTGTTTCTGGATGAAATTAACATTTAATGGTAGAATGAATAAGCATATTTCCTTCCTTAATGTAGGTGGTCCTCATCCAATCGATTGAAGGCCAGAAAAGAATAAAAGGGCTACATAAAAGGAAATTACTCTTGCCTGAGTATCTTGAGCTGGGACATTGGTCTTTTCCTGCATTTGGTCTCAAACTAAAACATCATTTCTTCTTGGGTCTTGAGCCTATGGGCTCTCCTGGTTCTCAGGCTTTGGAGACAGACTGGAACAATACCACCATCAGCTTTCTGACTACAGATATTGGGACTTCTCAATGGCATCCCATGAGCCAAATCTTTATAATAAATCTCTCTCTATGTATGTGTTTATTTGCTTGTAGGCCATCTCCACCACCAGAATGTAGCTCTACAAGCACAGAAACTTATTGGCTATTTTGTTCACTTCTGTATTCCCAGCCCTGGAATTGTGTCTAGCAAACAGTAGGCACTCGATAAATTTTTGTGAACTCTAGGAAAAAGGTTTGCTTGTGGTATTTTCCTAAGGCCTAAGACATGTCCTTGTGTGCAGATTTCTTCGTAGATGCCCAGTGTATGTCCATATATGTTAGCTTATTTATCCTCACATCATCCTTTAAGAAGGGGAGGAGGGGAACCATTTAACTGTGACTCATATCCATTGGTGGAATGGGAATGTTTAGTCCCTGGGAGTCTTAACACTCTGTTTTGAAGATACAAGCACCTCAGAAGGGGCTGCTGGGTATACCTTCGCTTACCTCATGAGCACAATGTATCTTGGAATCCTGTCTTTGAAGGATTTATTTTATAAGGCTGTGAATTTTGCTGCAAGAACTGGGCAGCAAAGATACGCTCAGTCAATATGAATTTTAAACATTTCAAATTCTTTCCAGACCGGAAAAGCTACAACTAAAAGTTGTGATTTCAGAATTCATAAGTGCGCATGTAGGAAGAGGAAGGAATAGTTTCAGGCATCCCCTGGAGTTTATCTTCCAAACCTGGAAACCAGGGAGTAGATGAATTTGCACAGATCACATCAATAACCCTTTAGCGTCCTATGAATATCGTTACGTGACTGTCTGACTTCCTCTCAGCCCCCACTCCAAATCTGTAGTAGGTATTTCAGTGACAGTTTATGAACAATGTGCAAATGCATATGCATTTTAATTTTTTTTTTAGATTTCATAGGAGGGAGACGATACATCATAATTTTTTTAAGTAAATGTACTAATCTTGCAGCTCTTAAATAGTAATCCAGTAGTCACATGGCCAAAATTACATTTTTATTATGTTTATTTGTGTACAAAATATGTAGTAATTCACCGATGCATGTGCAGCAAAATATTCTATCACATACAACAAAAATACACCTTTTTTTACTCTTCTTCTCCTGCCCCTGAAAATGGCAACACTGTTTTGGCAGTTCAGCAGCTAAAAATAAAGTGCTATAATTAAGCAGTATTGGGATGTCTTCACTTGACAAATGTGATGTACGAGTTGAGTGCACAACCACACCTTTGCTAGTTTTCTCACAGAACAGGAAATCCCACATCCTGAACAGCTCCAGAAGATACAAATATTTGTATATATATGTACACATGTATACACTGTATATGTAAAGTGCCAATGAGCCTCTTTTTTTGTGAGTTTGGTGTATTTATGTTTAGTCTCTCTCTCTCTCTCTCTCTCTCTCTCTCTCTCTCTCTCTTTCCGAAGTCAGGATGGCAGCCCTGGGATCCCAGGGTTCATCAGCAGGCACCGAGCAGCTCACCGAGCCGCTGGCTGGTTGTGGGTGTGCTGTCGGCGAGGGGACGGAGGGGGCCTTCAGACCTCGCTGGGGGACCTAGAACGGAAGGGCACTTTGGACTGGAAACAGCCACAGAACAGGAGCCACAGGGCACGCTGGATCTCCTGGTTGCGGAAGGCATAGATGATAGGATTGATCATGGAGTTGTAGGTGGCGGGCAGCAGGGTGGCGTAGGTGTAGACTGCCGGGTCCTCGCGGCTGCCCACCACGCAGTAGATGGCGAAGGGCAGCCAGCTGGCGCCGAAAGTGCCCAGCACCACGGCCAGGGTCCCCACCCCCTTTCTGGTGGCCGCGAGGTGCGGCGGCGCCAGGCAGTGCTGCTGCAGCGCGATCTGGTGCGCGTGGCGCCAGACCACCTGGCAGATGCGCACGTACAGGTGCAGCATGACGCCGAAGACCGCGAAGAACGCGGCGGACAGCAGCGCCACGTGGCTGCGCGTCAGCGGGCGCACCACGCTGCAGGTGGCGCGCTCCGCCAGGCAGTTCCAGCCCAGCACGGCAGCAGCCCGAGGCCCAGGGACACGGTCCAGGTGGCGGCGAGCAGCAGGTGCACGCCCAGCAGGGTCCGGCGCGAGTAGTAGGTGAGCGCGTTGTAGAGAGACAGGTAGCGGTCCACCGTGATGGCCAGCAGGCTGCTGACCGAGGCGGCGAAGGAGGCCACGAGGAAGCCCACGGTGAGCAGGCTCACGGTCTCGGAGGGCACCACGTACTGGAACACGAAGTGCAGGATGAGGCCGCAGCCCGCCAGCAGGTCCGCGGTGGCCAGGCTGCCCACCAGCACGAACATGGGCGTGCGCAGCGCCGGCGTGGACGCGATTAGCGCCACCACCAGCGCGTTTTCGCCTGCGATCACGGTCCCCGACACGCACAGCAGCACGTCCCAGGGATTCACCGCCGACAGCAGCAGCCCCGGCGGCCCGGCCGGCAGCTGGGAAGACAGCTCCAGGGACGCGTTAGCCGCGCCGCCGCCCCCCAGCGCCGCCGCAGCCGGGGGCCCCCAGTCGCCGCCGTCCCGCGCCCCTGCCGCCGTGGCCGCCGCCGCCGCCCCCTCGGCCGTCACCGCCACCACCTGGGACTCGTTGAGCGAGGAGGCGCTCGCGTTCATCGCGGCCTGCCGCTGCCACCCTGCGTGGAGAAGAGGAGAGCCGAGCGTCAGGTGTGGGCTTCCAGCCGCCGGGGCACCTCCCGGGGCGTAGGTGCCCGGCTCCTATTGCTCACCGCCCCCCCCCACCCCGGGACCCCAAGGCAGAGCGAGGAAGGGCCTCAAGTCAGTAAATACCTGTTGAGTGACTGAGCGAGCGTGTGCGTGCGATGCACGCGAATGTCCGCACACACAGATCTGAGTGTTTGCACAGACGCTCGCCTGCACACACGCCAGTCCCGCGAGGGTGCCTGGAGTCGCGCACGCACCCGTGCGCCCCGAGCTCGGGTCCCGCCTGGGCTCTGGGGCGCGGCGCGCTAGGCGGCCTCCCGACGCGGGCGCTGTCGCTGTCCGCGGTGCTGAAAGCGAAGTTTCTGAGGCCCCGGAGGTCCCCGGGAAAGGGGGGCTTGGGGACGGCGTGCAGCCGGGCGTGGCCCCGTTTCTCCGGCCGGAGGGACTCATGCATGGCCACGCTTCACCCCTTCCCCTGTCCACACCCTCAAAGTTGGTCTCGGGAGCCGGGCTGCTCACCTGGGGACTCAGGGCTCCTGGAAGTCGCTGACCATGGGCGCTGGGCCGGGGCGCCGGGCTGCGCTCCCCGCGCGGACTGAGCCTGCGCCTGCGGGGCGGCCGGGCCCGCGCGGAGCGGAGCGCGGGGCGCCTGTGGCTGTGCGGGCGCCGCCGAGAGCGAGAGGCGCAGCCGGAGGCAGAAAAGGCGGCTGCGAGCAGCGCGCCCGCTGGAGAGGGATGGGCAGGGCGCGCTGACGTCAGGCTCCCCGCTCCCGGGTGCGAGGCTGCACTCGCTGGGCCCCGCGCGCATCACTAACCCCGCGGCCCCGTCTCTCCTCCCCCGAAGCGCGGCTCAGGGGGGCGGAGGAAGGAGGAGAAGCCGGAGCGGTCGGCTCCAGTGCAGAACGTCCAGGAATGGGATGAGGGAAGGAGGAGAGGGAGAGGGGAATGAAGTCCTGGAGGAGGGTGAGCTCCTGGGGGGGGGGGGGGTGCAGGTGTGAGCTGCCCCGCGGGGCTCCCGAGAGCATCAAGGCCAAGTCCGCCCCTGGAGCAGCGGACGGTTCGGCGGGGAGGCCTGACCACAGACCCGCTACCTTTAAAAAATTGAACACCAATAAAAAATAAATTTATAAAAAAAATTAAAAAAAAAACCATACAGTACTGTGTTGGGGACAGGAATGAACGGACTAGGGGAAAATGAGATTTTTGAGAGGATGTTTGTGGCACAGGGTGTCAGTTGGGTACAGCCAGAGAAGAAATGTAGACTTGTGGGAAACAGAGAAAAGATGAGACATTTGAGGAAAACAGTCTTTTTTTTTTTCTTTCCTGTTTTGGGAAATAACCTGTGCAATTCCTCTCTCTCTCCCTCCGTCCCTTCCTCCCCCGCCCACTGTCTTTCTAGAACTCTACACAGCAGGTTTTACCATGATTTCCTAGCCCAATGTTTCCCCATTTCAGTGTGGATAGTGCCCTTGGAACTTGCTCTTCAATTAAATACCAGGTCTGTGTCTTGTTAGAAAAGAAGAAAACAGCAAAATGTGATTTACTTTCCTGGCAACAGACTTTGCCCTGTTAATTAGTACCCTATAAAACAAATTACAGGATGAAAATAGTGATAACTCAGCTGCACCAGACTTCAGTAGGCAGGAGTTTTATTTTCAGCCCAGATAAATCATCCTTTTGGTTTAAAGGTGTTTTGTTTTGTCAGTAAAATACAAGTAGTAGCCTTCTTCTTCTTTTTTTTTATTCAATCAGCCAGAATTTCCAGTAGTTGCACTTAGGCAAAAGCTGAAATAATCGACTCCTTCTAAGGCTTTAAAATAAGTGACTGCACGTTGGCATGATGGCATAATACTGAGGTCACAGTCATGGTTTTCAGGGACCACACGCTCTCGGAAAAGTGAAAATAGACAACATTTGCTATTGGTGCTTCCCCTACTTTTCCCTGTGTATCTCCTTATCTTCTTCCCTTTCCTGGCTTCACTTTGCCTCTAGCTGCATGGGCTCTACAAGGAAAAGCCAAACTGAACAAAACTCAGACTGTGTAGAGGCTGGGGTGGGAGGTAGAGTCTTTACCCTGGCTTTTCCCCTCTAAACATAGCCCCCAAGTCCAGCGTCCTTCTGGACACCCTGCCTCAATGCAGCTGAACTTAACTAGAGTTCTAGAGGGAAGAAAGACGATTCAATTCTTTGCTGCAATAGATACTGTTGGACCATGGAAAGAGTTAATACACAGTTTCTCCATCTGGGAAGTTTTAAAAATTCTGCAATCACCATTTTTATCAATCCTCAAACTGACTGAAGTTCTAAGTTTCTAAAAAGAGCCATTTTGAGCTTCAGTAAGGGCTTCTCATGTAAAAGCCAAGAATGCTTTACAACTGTCAAGTGAATTGCCAAACCACTGTAATAACACATTAATCACAAATTTCCCAGACAATCAGATAAAGGCCCAGGAGAAGGAGAATCCTTCTTAATGTCTAAATGTGTTACATTTTTACAGGCTGCAAGCAGCAGAAAGTGTGAGATTCAACTTGAACAGAGATCCTGTGTCTTGGATATCCTGCGGCTTTCATCATTGCTAAGAGTGGACTTTTCGGTGGTTTTAGGAGGAAGATAGCACATGTAGAATTATGTCCATAAATGCTGGTTGAAGGTTTGTAGGTTGTCTTTTGATCGTGCCAGTCTGTGGTTACCTCTCTCAGGTGCTGGACTGAACCTTGAAAGCAGCCAGAACATATTCTTTCAAGCTTCTCTATATCGCCCCCCCTGCCCACCCATCTCTTGGGAGGAAAGAAGAAAGGGGTATGGCCACCAATTATGAATGAATATTACATGCCCTTCATTACCTGCTCTGCCAACAGTTCCTCCCAAACATCCTCCCTTCCAGTGGTCTTCTAAAATGTTCAGCCTATGAACCATATGACATTTTCCACTCCCAGCCCAGCTTATGGAAGGAGATTGACACCTGACCCAAGGCTAGGTAAGACCAGCCATCCTTAACTGAACCAGTGACCAGATTCCTCTTCTTGAAAATGTGAACTAAAGACAGTTGGTGACAAAGGGCCAGTCGGTGTCGAGCTCTGGACATAAAAGATCATTACAAGTTAGGGCTGGAGCACTCATGTTGATCCTTGCGTGAAATGAGTAATTAGAGAGAGCCAGGTGCAATGAAAGAATAAAGCAGATGTGCAGAGAGGAACGAAGATTAAGATAAAATGATTGAGAGATGAAGGGGATGACTTTAGTTGCTGAGGGTCTGGTTCCTGACTCTGGGAGTCTGGATCCCTGGATCCCTTGAGATTGCTACTTGTGTCTCTACCACGAACCTTCCTAATCTTGAGCTACCTTGAGTGAATTTCTGTTCTGTGATCATTGATACTTGATGAAATGTATTATTCATCTACCAGCTTGTCTGGTTCTGGTTATGTGTGGGCCATGTGAAATTTGGTTTCTGGATTGTAGTCACAGGTTAAATTCATCATTGCCAACCCTGTGGCATGCCCATCATATCCTCTGGTGCCTTTTTATTCTACCACTATCCAACCACTAACATGAGAATGCTTTCCTTGTCTAAGGTTATGCCCAGAAATTATAACCTCTTAATCACAACTCCTTCTCTGGCTCCCCTGGGTATCTCTTGCCCATTTCAGCCTAAGTCAGTGATTCCCAACACTGGCTGCACATTAGAAGTACCTAGAAAGCTTCTAAAAACTATTTATTCCTGAATCCCTCACCCAAGGATTCTGATTCATTTGGTATGGAGTGAGAACTGGGCATAAACTTTTCTAAAGACTCTGATAGAAAGCCAGGGTTGAGAACACTTGTCCGAGCAATCGTACCGTCTCCTTCCTTATCAGTTTAGCACGCAGCAAAACTCCTGAAGTGGCAGATTGGAGTGTGAAATAATTGCAACAAAGGAATTTTAGTAACAATCCAGTCACTTAGTTTAATTTCTGATGTAAGGCATTAACCAGATCTCCTCTGAAAACCTTCAATTTTCTACACCCACAAGAACCTCCTTTATGGTCCAAGATGATTACTGACACTTGCTTCCCTTTTGGCTCTGATGAACTCCATAGTTCCCATCAGGGAAATCCAAACTCTTGTTGTCCTGGACCCTCTATTTTTTGGTAACTCTTGGGATACCTGTTCATCTGCCTCCTTCCTTGTTCTGAGTTGACAGCCATTTCCCAGGTGTGCCCTCTCCTGGCCCAGATTTTTGCAAATCCATTCTGTTTCACAAAATTAGAGCTGTAGTCAGTCAAGCTGTCTATAAAACTAGGTTGGAAAGACCCATGCTAACAATTCTGTCCCATGTGTCTGGGCATCTGCAGACCCCCCCACCCCCACCCCACGACACACCCTCACTCTACGTGGTTCTTAGAGACAAGCAGTATAGTTTTCTACTGGAAAGTATGTCTATTCGGTGGTGCACAGATACTTATGTTGACGGCTCAGGAAGAGAGCAGGTGTTTAGTGAGATGTATGAAGCTGTTATTAAGAAAGATTGTCGCTGAAAGAGGCAGCAATCACAAAGGGCCTTTGAAAAGCCCACATTGTTTGTCCAGATCCAGGATATTGGATGGAGTGTAATCTTTTGGGGACACATGCTGAGGCAGACAAATGATATTCAAAATATCTTCATTTCTCTGCTCTCACTTGTCTCCAGGCTTTCCTCTCCCCTTCAGGCACTGGAGGTATGTCATGTCCCAGGTACCTACCTACCGCTTCAGCATGTTCAAACATATTAGGGATAGTCTTGCTTCATGCCAGGTGAGTAGTCTTTACTCCAAAGGGCTGTTATTCTGGGAGATCAGCATAACCTGATGTTCCCACCAAATTTAGAAAAAGAGCAGACCACTGTTATTATCATTACATGCCCACAAGTTGCAGAACATTGTGCAGGGCAGTTGAAATTTTTTATTCAATTCAGTGGTGAGCAACATTTTTTCTTT